TTAAGGTACAAGGGGAAGCGAAGATAAAGTGGTGGAGGCTAGAGGGGAATCTCCAACAAACTTTTACACAGAAAATGTAGGAAGAAGATGTATGGTCCTTTGATAATGACGCACATGTGGATGATGTGTGGTTATGAATGGAGTCCACCTTTAACAAAGTGGCGAAAGAGATACTTGAAGAATCTAAATGAAGCCTACCACCAAAAAAGGTGATTTGTGTACATATGAATCCAAGAAATAAAGATCTGAGTAGTTATTCGAATATTGATTTGTGTACATACGAATAGTATGAGCTTCTCTCTTTTAGATGCTCGACTTTATACACGCTCCTCCTCAATTACATGGCAAGGATCTTTAAATAAGGAGTGAAAATATACTTCATAAAACTATACTGCCGTGATGAATTCTTTCCATCTGGGTCCAATGCATCCATGCTACTTTCCATTTGAGTATATGTTAGACGCGTGCGACCTGCGGCTTATTCTTCTTCCCATGCTTCATTCATTAGGGCTCGGGTTTTAGCACCACACCTTTATTATTTGCCAAAGATCGTGGGCCACTTTAGTTGGGCCCAACATATCCCAATAAACCCATGACTGGGAATCGAACCCACATCAATCACGCGTACCGCTGCTTAGTGCCCATGCTAGCCCCATCCGACCACAATGTTTATTAATGTTTACTTCACAGAAAGAAAGAATACAAGTATCATTCCTCTGCCGTTTTGACTAATTAACTTTTTTTTTGACAATCTCTATTGTTCCAAAAGGTGCATGGAGTCTTCCACACCGGGAGCCCCTACACCCCGACCCGATAGAATGGTGGAGGAGTAAGTCACAGTGACTCAGTTAATCCAATGGTGGTAGGCCTTATACCCGTGCGTACCAGAGGTCCAACCCAGCACGTAGGAGCTGTAACCTCCACACGGCCGTTGGGGTTTTGAACCTTGGTCTTTTTTTTTAACAATCTCTAAATATGTTATACGGAGTATATTATAAATCCGTAGTATATTTACATCAAAGTATCTTTACATCATAAATCCGTAGTATATTATATACTATCGTATTTTTCACACCCCATCTTACATATGTTTACTTTATATATTTTTGTTAAAAATTATATTTCACGTTTTTAGTCTAAAAATCCAACAATTGAAATTTCAGACATTTTTTTTACTTAATTTATGTAATATTTGTGTCACATGAAAGATTATAAAAAATTACTACCTTCATCCCAAAAAGGTTTGCCAAATTGACTTTTTGTTCAATGGCAATGAACTTTGACCAATGATATTTTTTAGTATGAATTTTTTTGAATATGAAAATTATAAATGTTCTTTATTAAAAATATTTTAATAAAATTATAAAATTTATAAATTATAAATTTATAATTTTTTATAAATTATTTATAAATTTATAAATTAATCTTATTGTCCAAAGTTTGTGATCATTGACCAAAAAATGTGAATATGGTGAACTTTTTCGAGACGGAGGTAGAATGAATTTTTATATATTTTTTATCAAATATAAAAAAAATTATAATTATAATACATTAATAAAGACATGCACTCTTGATAACACTAATACGGAGTAAAAAAGTCTTAAAAATCCAAAAAAAAAAAAGCAAAACTTTGAAAAGTAACAGCATTGAAACGTGAGCTAGGTTACTTAATTAGTCAAAACGGAAAGGGTTTTATACTTGTATTATTTCTTTCTAGGAGTACACAATAAGCATCATGGTTGGATGGGGCTGGCATGGGCACTTAGCAGTAGCATGGTGTCATTGACGCGGGTTCGATTCCTGGTCATGGATTTATGGGATACTTAAATTTTTGATAGCTTAATCATCACAAATGACATTGATTATACACAAATGACATGGATAAAAATGATGACTAGGATATACACGTGGATTTTTTTGCTAGAATATTGAATGGTATCGCCGGATGCAACATTTAAATGTAGTTGAGATACTGATTTGCTTCATCAAAGAGTTAAGGTCGTACTGATTTGCTTCACCCTTTGTCCATTACGGAGTACTACTCTTCATTCCCAAACCCAATCAGTGACCACATCACAAACCTTAACCGGCTAACCCCTAATCCGTCCCAACCCATCCACCTCAAACCCTGACCCTAATTAAAAACCTCTTTCAGTTACCAGAAAGTTACAGGGCATGTCACCATAGAACAAAAAAGGATAGATGAAGAAATGATGGACAACGTCTAAGATTGGAAAGAGATGACGACCCGGTCACTGGAGAAGAGTGAAGTGGTCTGCGGCGGTGTGAAAAAGATGAATTGAAAATTTTGAACTAACCGGCGCCGTCGTATATATAAATATTGAGAAGCTATCAGCGGCAACCCATAAAAGAGGACCCAACGGGAGCAGTGGCCATGGAAAAAGAAGAGGCAAAGAGTCTTTTCTCTCTTGGCAGGCGGGAGAGGTGGTCTGGTGACGATGGAGAGATGATTGATGGCTCGTGCCAAGTACATTGTGGTCTGATGGCATCACTGTGGCACTCCCAAAGAGAAGGTCACTGTGGCATTAACATTGAGCAGATACTATATAGGTTAGGAAGAATGGTCCAAAAAAATTATACTCCGTGTATCTAATAAAGTCACTTTTTTGTCAAAATTAAACTTGGTCATATTTTTCTCTAAACAAAGCCTTATAGTCATATTTGAGCCATTATTTCTATCAATAATTGTTATAATCGAATGAATAGTTGAATTTCCATTAGTTATAATATTGCATAAGAAGTATATACCAAATTACCAACATGTGCGCACATATAATAAAATAAAATAAAAGACCTGTACACGGCATGGATAAAGATAATAGATAAAGATAGTAGTTACGTAGTATATTAATATTTGCTCGATCACAACGGTGGCAAGGCCGGAGACAGCCCGCCGGAAAAATATAACATGAAAAATGGGCAGGGACACAGCTAGGTGCCCGTAAATAGTACAATGGCGGAATAAATAAAAAATACACGTATATTTCAACGTAATTAATTAATTAAGCATATGAATATGTATACTCCGTATTAATTAATGAAGCTAGAAGAAATATATGTATATTATTGAATGGTTATTGATGAAGTTGGGGGCCGAAGCCCCTCCGGGCCATTCCTCACTCCACGTCTCCACATACATGTCGTCAATCGTGATGTTTGTTGGTTGCACAAAACACAATCCCAATAATAATGACGCACACAATTAAGCATATCCCCCCGATGGACGAGGCTATCGTACCACCATCCATTGAATATTGTATATTTGTATGTATGTGTGATACGAAGTACTACGTATATGTTTAACGGATCGAGTTAATTTGTATCCTATATATCTATATCTATATATATACACACACAAACGGATCGACCACATCTTGAGATACCTTTGTTGAATATTGGGGCATAAAGTAGGAGTGAAAATCAATAAAGAGATCGATAAAGTAATAAGCATCTCTCTACAAAAAAAGTTGTTTTACCACAAAAAAGTTATTTTATCTCACCTCTGATCCTATGCATGCGTACCTGCATACGTCAATACAAAAAAATAAATATTGCGGTAGATATGTACTCCTTTCGCCCTTAACTTTGCCAAAAACTTTGTCACTTTGGATGTCCAAAAAAATTTGTCATTTCCCCATTTCAATGAATTTGTGATTCCTGTTATTTCTAGCTCCTCTGCACATATTTCAACTACACAATTTTTACTTTATTATTTCACGTGTCGGTCAAACTTGGCAAAGAATCGAGGGACGAGGTATTTCTTTAGGTAGTTTTCTATGGTACCCATAAGGTACCATACATTTGTCCACATGGACCAGTGAAAAGGTAGCAGTTGAATTATTTAAATCTAAATTAAAATTTATAAAGTGATGTGGTCCAATCAAATGAATGCTATATAGGTACGGTACCCTTGTTTTTAGAAAGGTAGCGGAGTTGTCACCATTTCTTTAAACTTTGAGGAAATAGATCGATTAGACATGCGTAACTGCATACGTCAATGCAAAATATTAAGTAGTGCAAGATTTGTATTTCTTTAAAGGGAAAGTTCCCGAAATAGAACTAAAACTGTTTGAAAATTACAAAATAGGACTGTCATGTTTTTTATTCCCAAAATAGGAGTAATTACTGCCAAATTTGGAAAATACTGCCATGTTTGAAGTCTGGTACCGCCAAAACATGACAGTAATTACTAATTAGTCCTATTTTGAGAATAAAAACATGACAGTCCTATTTTGGAATTTTCAAACCTTTTTAGTCCTATTTTGGGTAATATTCTCTTCTTTAAACTCTAGAGGAAATAGATCGATTAGACATGCTTATTAAGACACTTCAATTGTATGGTTATTTGTATTTCTTTAAAGGCTAAAGGATCAAATAGGCTCATAGATCGATTCAAATTTCATTTTTTGCGGGTTGCAATCTAGTCATCGCCACGTCACCTGGTAGGGTGCCAACTGCGCATGTGACGTGACAACTTAAGGGGTAAAATAATCTCCTGAACCCGACTGGATCGTTCAACTCACCCCTCAACCCTTAAAAAAGTCAAAATTACAAAAAAAAATAGAAATAAAAAATACAAGTCGAAAATATAAAATGTAAATATGAAATATTGCTATATTTTTCGGTAAATGCAAAATAAAAAATAAAATATAAACTAAAAAATTAATTCTTGAATTTTATTTCCAAATCATATATTTAGAGCCCGTTTGGTATTACTCCAATCAGCTGCATTGATTGATTCTGTTGAAATTTATGAAATTCTGACTGAAGTGGCTAGATTGACTGATTATGCTTATGCATGAAAAGTTACATTTAAAATATACTCCCTTCGTCCCAATTTGATGGTACCTTATTTCCATTTCGGGGTGTCCCAAAATGATAGTGTCATTTCCTTTATAGGCATAGAAATAATTGTGTTTGGACAATTGTACCCCTCATTTAATATGCCCCTCATTTAATATCCTTATACTCCGTACCCCATTTGATCTTACGCATTTACCTCTTCATTCGAACAATCCCCTTATTTCCTCCGTCTCTTCATTTCTCTAGCCCTCATCTCCACTGTCGACAACCTTCGAACCACCATTGCTGCTCCAGTACGCCCCAATTCTCAAGCTCTAGATTCTGCCCTTAATGCCTAAATATTTCTAGAATCTATCATTCCTGAACCGCAGATTGATGAGTGTGGTGACGAAACAAACCCTAGCTTGGGAAGTGGTGGCGGGATTACAGGCCCGGTGGATACAACCGTGGAGATAAATAGAGAAGAGGATTCAATTACAAAACGGACCCGGAGGGAATGTATCTAGTTCAGGTAACGGCCTACCGGAATCGAACGTATCTGGTTCAGATAATTGAACGTATCTGATTCGATTACAAAGAGGATTTCATATTTGTATCTGACCGAAGAACAGAATGAACGACCTACCATGGTTCAGATAAGTCTCCCAAATTGACTAAATTATCTGTATATATCTAAACCTCAATCTCTCTTTGTTTACGTTGGGCTTGATTAATGATGTTAATTGTGGTGTAAACTATGTGTGGGTATGTTAATGTGGTTATAAACATGAAGGAGGTGAAATGATTCGTTAATTGCCACCCATGTTGTAACTGAGTCCATAGCTATGATGCTTTGTTCTGAGTTTGATGCTTTATATGTTGCCTGTGAGCCTATGAACACTCTTGTGAGGCTGTAATTGAGTTCTGTTAGTCCAACACAGATTTTTTTTTTGACAAATTTAAAAGACCGCGTACAACTTTTTATTTTTTGGATAAAATTCTGGATATATATATATATCCAGAAAATAGCATAGTACAATGCATCAAAAGAACTATCCAAGGTAGCAAGCTAACCTAAAATAGTATCTATCATATCAATCCCCCTCCCCCACCTTTCGAGGGTGAGGAGAGAGTTTTTTCGGAGTCCCAAAAACATCCCAAAAAGTACAGTCCAAGAATGGCACGAGACAAGCCCTGGCTCATTCATCAAAATAAAATCATCAAACCGACTGAAATGGTTATAAATCTAGTCCACTAAAAGGCCATTGGACAACTAATTAAAGTCACCTCACAGTCTTCAGCAGTCCAGAAATCCCACTACAGCAGCGGAGTAGGCCCATGAGTAGCCCAGCCCCGTATCAAAATCAGTCCAGCGACCCAGGCCAGTGAAAAGCCCAACCTCGCGTCAAACCAAGGCCCAAAGCAGTTGATTATGTGATACTTACTTCAGCATTCTAACATCTCTATGAGGATATTCTTGTTAACTGAGAGTATTGTCACTTACTTAAACAAAACATACATGCAGCTCACTCTATATTGTCTCTGCTGCTCCATTCAGATGGTTTATTGCATCTTCTAATGTCTGTTTGCCCATTACAATGTTGGTAGGAAGAATACTTTGTCTTTCCAATCTGTGTTTTCCAATATGTTGAAGCTTGTAGTTATTCCCTCCCTTAACCTCAATAATTTCAGCCAATATGAATTGAAGTGTTAGTCAAACATATCCAACACTGAATGTGATGCATATGTGAGACCAAATTGACTATCCCATGTTGTAATTCAGTGCATACTTATGATGTTTTGTTGTGAGTTTGATGCTTTATATGTACACTGTTTCTTGAACGATATATTGGCTATAGCATGTTACTGTGTCATAAAACAGTAACAACTGAGAGTACAAAAAAGCTTACCATTACATATATTGGCTAACTATTCAACAAAAAATCATGCCTAAAATGGTTGTAGTTAACACAATTTGTGAACAAACTCTATGAGGCTAACAACCTCATCAAAGAGATGCATTTAACATCTCTATGAGGATAATCTTGTTAACTGAGAGTATTGTCACTTACTTAAACAAAACATACATGCATCTCACTCTATATTGTTTCTGCTGCTCCATTCAGATGGTTTATTGCATCTTCTAATATCTGTTTGTCCATTACAATGTTGGTAGGAAGAATACTTTATCTTTCCCATCTGTGCTTTCCAATATGTTGAAGCTTGTAGTTATTCCCTTCTTAACCTTAATAATTTCAGCCATTATGAATTGAAGTGTTAGCCAAACATGATTAAGTGTTTTGGGGGATAACCTTGTGCATGCTTCTTGAACATTTGCAAGCAACTCATCAACTGTTTTATTGCATGTTTGATACTGCAAAGACTGTATGGAATTGAAAAATCCCAAGTCTAGGACATTCATGTCAGGACTGTTAGGTGGTTGCATTGACAACCTTATATTCCACCCATCCTCACTTGCTGCATGATTGAATTCTTGATCATTTTTGCTAATGTGTGGTCTGACATTATCTTGTTGGATGATAACTTCCCTGGCTAATGCTACTGACCACTTAGCTTTTATGTCTAGAATGAGTTTTGTCAGTAGCATTTCCGTGCACACTTTTTTTGTCGCTGAAAGAATTGGCTTTGTTTGCATTGTATGTCTTGGTCTATTCTTAATGTTTCTTGATGCTTCCACCTGCTCCACAAACGGCCATATCCCTATATTCCCATATCATATGACTTCCCCCTCGCTACCGAAAATAGGTTTGCACACAGAAACATCACCTTGGTTATAAACCTTTTAGATTTGCAATGCCTGTCAGGGGGAGTCTCTCCCTCATGAATGTACCATCTTGTCATTGTTTTGCTTAGGTTAAACCACTTCTCATCGATGTGAATAAAATGGTCAAACCCTTGAAATGTGGGAGTGTTTGGTAAGGAAGCTGGAATTAAGTGATGAAGGCAGAATTGACACCTGGTTCTTTTATTCTATTCTGTAAGAAATGGCTTCATAGTGCTTGTATGTGCTTTTCTTCACCTCTCTGCTTCATTCTGTGAAATGTACTTTTAGACATTTTTAGGGCATGAGAGTCTGACCTTATGTTGGTCCTTTTGCTCAAAGGAATGTCCTTGAAACTTTGAAGGGGTACAGTTACCCCTTTTCTTCCAATATGTTTGGTCAGCATGTGAGTTACATCTAGGCTTTGCCCATTCTGTAACTGTTGCTTTACAATCTGCCATATTCTGGACATGGCATGTCTGGAAACCTTAAAAATATATGCACCTTTGTTGATTACACCACGCTGAAGTCGCCCAAAGCCATCCACATTCTTCAGAAAATATTCCTTTATTTCTTCTCTTCCCTTGTTTGTAAGTCTTGATCTCTGTGCAGGGAAATGGACAAGGGCAGTTGCAGGCGCAGGTGGAGGAGAGTGAGGAGGTGATGGGGCTAAGTTAGAGCTGGAGGCAGCCATTAATGGTGGTAGCTAAAATAGATGAAGCAGTCTTAAATGTGCTGAATGTTGTTGTATTTATAGGGCTGGGGTTGTATTAGAGGTTGTACTTTTGAAAGTGTGATTTTAGAAGTTTAATTTTTGAGTTCCCTCCTTTTTTTGGTTGAACAAACAATGTTTAGGAGGGAAGTTAGGAGGGAAGCTACAGGGCTGATTTGTCCAATCGTAAGATGTGATGTGAAGTACAATTGTGAATAGTTACGAAATCATTTGCGATGTCAATTTGATTACCAAAGTTAAGTTGTAAAAATTTGGTAAAGGGTATATATGCACTTTTATCACACTTTCTTATTTTTTGTGACCAAAAGTTTCGGTACCATGAAATTGGGACGGGGGAGTATTTTATTAATAAAATAATGAAAACATTATATGGAAAGATAGCTAAAATGATCTTATACGGTAACTTCAGCCAATACAGCCACAAAAGTAACTACAACCTTATTAGTACTTATATTATTGTTGTTGTGGGCCTATTATGTGTACATTGTATTACGGAATATACTCCGTATTATTCTTGGGTGCATGTATGATGAGGACCGAGGGAAACACTTGCATGTGGAGGAGGACATGGATGCATGCACATGTATGATGTATGTGGCATATGACATTCACGTGGGAGTGAATGAGAAGGTCACACCTCAGTTATCTTGTTCGTCTGAATATGTGGTAATAATGTACTCCGTACATATTATTATTGTTAGTTTTAAAGAGTCAACTTTGTTATTTGTGTACAAATATTATTAACCGATATCTTTCCATTAAAATTGTTAAAATGTCATTTTTATTATTTATATCATATGTATAATTATCACCTGTTACAAAAATGTCACTTTTGTTATTTAGGTCAAGGTCTTATTTAGTCAACATAACTATTATAAAAATGTCACTTTTATTATCGAAACATTTTTATCTGATTAAATGTCACCGATGTTAAAATTTAACTTCATTCATTTAATTATTAAAATATCACTTTCGTAATATTTTATCTGACTGATAAAATTTATATTTTTTTATTATTCATTTAAATTTTCGGGGTGTCACATTCTACTTTCCTTAAAAGATGCTTTGTCCCGAAGCATAAGCTGAGAAAATGTCCACAGATGCAATTAGCGGGTATCACATGTTCGTTAGTTAATATTAAATTCTTCTTATTAAATTTAAGGAGTGTCACATTCTACCCCCCTTAAAAGAATGCTTCGCTCCTGAAGCATATAGAACCTGAAATTTTTCTAGTTAGGACCCTCCTACCGTATATTTAGGGATGGACCCGGGCCGGGCCGGTTCCGGTTCCGGGCCGGGCCCGGGCGGGCTTTTTTTCGGGTTACATGGGCCCGGAACCGGCCCGGGTTGATACCGGGTCCGGGCCTAACCGGGCCGGGCCGGGCCCGGTTCAATGTTTTTTTTTTTTTTTTTTTTTTTTTGACTTTCTTGTTATCTCCCTACCCCCCCCCCCCTCACCCCCCACGCCCCAAACCTCCCTAAAACACCCAGCCCTACCCTAGGAAAAGAAAAAAAATTGAAAAAACCAAAAAAAAAAAAAAAATGAACCGGGCCCGGCCCGAACCGCCCGGGCCGGTTCAACAAAAACAGGGCCCGGAACCGGCCCGCCCGACCCGCCAAAACGGGCTAAAAGCCCGGAACCGGCCAACCGGGCCCGGTCCGGTCCGGGCCCGCACAGTAGCGGGCCGGTCCGGTTCCGGGCCGGTTCGGCCCGGCCCAGTCCATCCCTACGTATATTCCATAAAATGAAACGCGGAACAAATATGCCCTTACCTAACGTCAAAGGTTTCATCTCACTGGGTCCAAGTCTTTTCTAGACAAGCAACATATAGGAATACACACACAACCGGCTGTACCTTGAGCATGGTACAGCCGGGTATTTTTGTAATATATTGGTGTTGGCAGCCGTTGTTGTTACAGGAGAAGGGAACGGTGAAAGAGCCGAGTCGGTCGTTTCCTGCTGTGGATCAAATTTTGCTACGCCTGGAACTCCGAAGAGCTCTGCACCGCCATCCATTCTGATTACTTTTTCTTTTTGCTTTTTGCTTTGTGCACAACCGTCATCTAGTTTTGTCTTTTTGCTTTGACTTTTTCTTTATTTTTACCTAGCTAGTTGGTTTTACTTTATTTTGTTTAGTCTTTTTATTTACTTCTTTTCGTTTGTTTATTTGTTGATTACTTTTTTTTATATTATACCAAGCACATTAGAAATGAATTCTACCTTAAAATCAAATGAGTAAAACGCCTAAAAATGAACATACACAAATGAGTTTTTGAATTTTTGAATACTCATTTTGTAAATTATGTATGTTCATTAAGTATCTCTGCTATGCTCATTTTTAAAATGTTTTAGCAATGCACATTTCAAAAATCCCATATTACATTAGATTTATATAAGAGTTGATTATAGACACGAGACCACAAATCATGATACTCAAACGCAGATTCTAATACTCAATAACGGGGATTTGATGCTCGCCGAAAATAGAGGAGTTTTGATGTTGAATGAAAATGTTGTGATGTTCAACTAGCCAAGCAACTAACAAATTCATTAATACTCATGTTGTAAGTTACATATGCTCATCTGATACTGATCTTATGCTCATTTTCTAAATGTCATATCAATGCATTTTTAAAAGTATTATTTTATGATAGACTCTTAATACTCAACATAATAGGTTCGATGCTCATTAAAAGTTCATTAATGTTCATTCACAAGAAACTATCATTTTCATCTCAATAGCAAATGTTTGATGCTCAATTAAAATGTCGTGATGTTCAACTAACAAACCTTACGATAAAAAATAACAAAAAGAAAGTGAATTACAAATTATGCAGCAGAGATCACGATTCTAAATATTAGACTCCTAATACTCAACAGAGTAGGTTGGTTGCTCATTAAAGGTTCAATATTACTCATTCTCCAGAAGTCGTGACTTTGATTTCAATAGTGGAGGTTTGATACTCAATTAAAATGTCATGATGTTCAACTAACAAACTTTACGATTTTCATATCAATGTGCCCTTTCTAAGTTATGTATGCTCATTTGATACTGATGATATGCTCATTTTTTAAATGTCATATCAATGCATATTTCAAAAGTATCGTATTACATTAGAATCACATATTTAAATTAATAGGAGTAGATAATAGATATAATTTAATTAGTTTTTATAAAAGAAAATAATAGAAAAAGAAAAAAATAGAAGATATGAAGCAGAAATTGTTATACTCATTGTTAACCTCTTAATGCTCAATCAAATAGGCTAGATGCTCACCAAAATTACAATATTGCTCATTTAGCGTAAGCCGTGATTTTTCACTTAAATTACAAAAGTGCCACCGAAAAAAAAAATGGTCTGTACTGCTTATTGGGTTTTCTTCCTAATTGGGCCGGATGTATATACATCCGGTTGTACCATATAGGCTCTCCACACAATATACCTATTTTAAACCATTATCCAATTCCAAACAAAATTAAACTCTCACAATCTCGCCACGATCCTAATAAAGTTATTCTTTCTTATTATAAGGTTATTATTCCTAACAATCTTTTCTTTATAAAGCTTTTGGAAATCTGTTATCAGCATTTTGAAAACGTTTATAAAATAAATTTCAATATGCTTTCGAAAATACAGCTCTAAAAAAACAATTTTAGAAAGTTTCAAAAATGTTATAAATATTTTTGAAAACCATATTCACTTAAGAGAAATTTTTGTTTGAAAATCCCCAATTAAAAACGTAAACTCTACCAATTTGTTGGTATCACTTAAAAATTTAAGAAACATAAGAAAACTTTTGAAAGTTTGTTTGGAAACCTTTTCGGAAAAATGCTCTGATACCAATTTGTAACACCCCCATTTTCCCTCCCAAAACAATACTTGAAATAATAGATTTATTGATAATAAACTTGATTTATTCTTTCAAAACAGATAAAAAGTTTTGCAGCGGAAATAACATTAATTGGGAAATGGCATGGGTGTTACTGTAACACCGTCCCCAAATATATTTACTTTTATGTAAATAATGTATTGAACCTTATTAAAGGATTAATGAATTTACGAAGTTGTAAATTTTTATTATTTCTTTCGCGTGAATAGTAAATTGCACGTGGGACCCACACCGGGAGCGGGGGCCGCCCGATATCCCCGAGATCACATAAATTATCATTATGGGTCGAAATAATATTTATATAATGGTGGATAATTTATTTGGTCCAAAGAAATGATATAGAGTTGACCGGTTGACCAAAAAGGCCGAAATACCGGTATCGGTAATTTAGCATATAACAGCCCGAAACGAATTTCGGAGGCTTATAAATTAAAGTTGGGGAATGTATATTCATTATAAGGGTCATAATGATTGGAAACACATAATATATTTTATTTCACCCGATGAGGTAAAATATATTTATAACTGTCCAAAAAATACAACTTTCGGGACAAATTGTACACTTCGGGACAAAAAGGGTTGACCTCCCACATGGGTGGGGGCCAACCCACGAATTTAGGCTCATTTTCTCAAGCCTTGGTCGGCTGGGATGATGGAGGAGCATGAGTGAGGTGTGTGATGTGAATGGAAAAGAATCAAACAAAATAAAGGGTGGGTCTCTCCCCCACACCACTCATTCTATTGAGACAAAAGAGGATACTCACCCCCTTCCCTCTTCACCACTCGGCCACACCCTCAAGAGAAGGAGAAAATCCCAGAAAAATAGCATCTTCCATAGCCAAGGACAAGCTAAAGCTCAAGGAGGTCCAAAGGAAAGGTTTAGGGGAGGAAAAACTAGGTGGATTAAGGTAATGACCTTATAATGACTTTTCCTCTATTCCTTGATTATCATATGGGTTATATGTCATATGAAGAACCCTTGGGATTGTTCTACATGTTATGAGTGTGGAATAATGGGTTGGGAGGTGGTTCTATGTCCAAAAAACGGACATAGAAGCCAAAACGACCGGTTCACCGGAAAATAACCTTTTAGGGGTTATTTGTATTGATTAAGGTTTTATGATGTTAAAACCTTGTTAGGAACTTGATTAAAGTATCTTTGAGCTTCGCCGGAGTTTCGCCGGAGTTGGTCAAAGTTGGCCGGAGTTGGTCAAAGTTCGCCAAAGTTCAACCGGGAAGTGTAGAACGCGCTTAAGCTCACTTAAGGTGAGGATGACCGACTATATTGTTTATAATTATTGGGTTAATTTCATAAGATTGCCTAAATGAATTATATGTGTTTGGCATGAGTTATTTATGATTAAGAATACCTAAAATGGAATATAGT